AATCATTTAGGGAGTGAACCAGCAGATGGAAGATCTTTCCATCTCTCCTATCAGTAAATCTGACTTTCCAATAAACATAAGTATATCATTTTTTAAAATAAAAAAGGAGCTGAAATAGAAAATAACAAGAAGATCTAGTGTAGATAGGGTGGGAAAGTGGGAAAGAAAGCTCTTTAATGAAGGGGTATTTTGGGTAATAGCTGTAGGATTGAAGGATACTCAAGCCCAATGCAAGAGCAGCATGTGAAAAGGCTCTGGGCCCAAAGATCCAACTTTGTTGGAGGAGCTGAAAGGCCACTGTCACTAAAGCACAGTGAGTGAAGGTGAAAGCAGGATGATCCCTGAGCAAAAGTCAGAGTTCACATCACACAAACCATGGCTAAGAGCTTTGGATTTATTCTGAATTCAATAGATAGCTCATAAAGGGTTTTCAGAGGAGAATAAGAAAATAATATCACTATTAAAAGTATGCATAAGGAATTAGACTAGGAAGGCAAGGGTAAAAGCAGAGGGAGCAATCAGGAGGCTACTAAATTGGGCCTTTCTACCACGTAACAGGGAAAATAGAAAGAAGGGGATGAATTTGCAATATGCTTAGAAGATAGAATCAGCAGAACTTGAGAGGTGAGGAAATGAGCCATTAGTATGATTGTGAGGTTACTGGCACGAACAGCTGGGTAGATGCTTGAGCTCTTGATTAATATGAGAAGGGTTACATTTGGGGGACTGAGAGTTTAAAGGAAATAAAAGTTCTATTTTAGCCATCTCAAATCATCATGCTCCATATAAATAGAGATACAAACGGCCAATAGAATAAGAAACTCAAAGAAATGGCCTGACCTAGAGCTAGAAACTAGGTGTGGTCAGCAGAAAATGCCGCTTAAATTGATCAGAGAGGGGTAGAAAAGAAAATAAGCCAGCCTCAAAGAGAAAAATAGCATGTTTTCTCTAATATTTGACAGCTAACAGAATACATAAAGGGTAGCAATGAATGATCAGTTTGGGACCAGATTGTCATTTTTAGCTCATGTTTTTACTCCTTTGGAAACGTGGTCTTGTGGTCTTTTTACTTTTACTTGCTTAATATCAGGATTAGTTGCAAATCAAGCCTGTGAATGTAGAGTTGACTAAAATGATGTGTGTGTAAAGGAGGAATGCTGCAGGAGAAACCAGACGAGTGAAGGAAGCGTGGTTGACTCTTGAAGCTGTGCCTATGGAACTCAGGATGGAACGGAATCTGTTCCCTTTATATCAATTTAAAAATTATATTAAAAAGCTTAAGAAAATTTAAAAGAGGCAAAGACAGCGAAATCTGAGAATTTAATACTAGCATGTTGAAAAGATGAGAAAAAAGTCACAAAAAAAGTCATCCAACTCCACAAAAGTGAAGAGAGACGAGTGCTCCAGGAGAGGGTGGAAGAGTGCTGAATATTTCTGACAGCTCTGGCATCACACAGCTGGTCCTCCTGTTCATCGTCTCTGCCTATCAAAATGCCCCTTTCTTCAAAGTCCAAGAAACAGGGCCTGACCAGAAAAACCACATTCTCAGTGATCACCAGTGAGTACCTGCTGCACCACATCTATTATCTTTTCTCTCTTTATTGTTCCTGTTTTCTACTAGCCTGTGATGTCAGAGACATCTGGTACTTTGTGAAACTCTGCTCTTTCTGATTTCTATTTATATAACTTTTCTTATTCTCCTCCATTTAGTTCTTCTGGTTTCCCTTCACCTTCCATCTCTTAAATCGTGGTGTTTCCAAAGGTGTCTTTAGACACCTTCTTTGCACTATTTGCAATGTCATTTATGTATCAACCTTTAAAAGCTACTTTCTGCAGTATTTCAAAACCCATATATCAGGCCAAACTCAATCTCTTGATACTTGAGCTCCTATTCTAAATTTCTAGATAGACATTTCTATAGCACAGTCAAATAACATTTTTAAAACTACTATTTGGTATAGCCAGACTCTTGCCTTTACTCCACAACCTTCTTATTTCATATCATATATTAACTCATGACTTAATCATCTTCCCAATTCAAATTTTTAGATCACTGTTGACTTAGTCCTCCCGCTACATCCCAGACAATCAATAATGCACTTCTGTTGAACTTCCTAACTTGTTACTCTCTGTTGTCATACGTTTACAATCATCTCCTTTCTCCCTGTTGTAATCCACCTTGACACTTGCTGCCATAATTTCAGTTGCTAAATGTACATTGATTAAAAATCTTTTAGAAGTATTTCTGGGTCACAGAACAGGGAACAGAAACCTTACCCATCTGTTTAAGACCTTCATTCATCCATTTAGTACATGTTTATGGACTGACTATTGAATTCCAACCACTGTGCTAAGATTCACCAATGAGCCAGGCAAAATCGTAGCCTCACTTTCTAATAGAAAAGATAGTCTTTCTATGGAGCTGAAAATGTGACAGGTATCTGTAAATGGGAACCTGGGAAGCCGGAAGGTCAAGAAAGAATTACAAGCACAAAGATCCTGAAGTGAGAAAGAGCTTGGTGTATTAAGCAGCAAGGCAGGTGAGATTGAAGCAGACTGAGATGGAGAGTGCTGGAAGATTATGTCTAAAAATGGTTGTCATGCAGAGATCCAGAGGTGGGTAGGAGTTGGGACTTTGTTCTAAGGAATGCAGGAAGCCACAAGAGGAGTTTGCTCCTGGGAGACATATGATATGGTTGTCATTTTCAAAGATAGTCTCTGATCAAGCTGTAATATAGGCTGATCTCTCCCAATAAACTTTTTATTCTGTCTTATTATAAACCGGCAAATTAGAATGTGTTAATTTTATGGAGTATGGTTATGATTTATGAATACATTGTGGAATAATTAAGTCAAACTAATTAATAGTTTATGGCCTCAAATAGTTCATTTTTTTTGTAGTAAGAACACTAAGTTTATCTTTTCTGGCAATTTTAAATGTGCTATACAGTGTTATTAACCATATTTGACATACTACACAAAAGATCTCAAAAACATACAAGTCCATTTTCTGATCTAATACTTTGTACATTTTGGCCATCTTCATCTATGCCCCAACCTCTAGCATCTGTTAACTGCTGAAATTCCATTTTCTGCCTCTATGAGTTTGATTGTGTTAAATTCCACAAGTAAGTGAAACCTATTATTATTTGTCATCTTTGCAATTCTATTTAATATCATCTGGACTGGGTGGAGAAAAGGCATTTGGCAAAAGCCCAAATCCTTTCATAATAAGAACTATCAACAAGTTAGGCATATGAATACTGTACCTCCACAAAATAAAGGCTATACACAATAAACCTACTGCTAACATTATGCTCAACAGTAAAAGCTTAAAGCTTTTCCTCTGAGATCTGGAACGAAACAAAGATACCTACTCTGCCACTTTGTTCAGCATAAAGTCCTTGCCAGAGCAATGAAACAAGAGAAATAAATAAAGGGCATCCAAATAAGAAAGGAGGAAGTAAAATTGTTGCTGTTGGTTGAAGACATGATGTTCTGTGTATAAGACTCCATGGGTAGTCCATGGGTAGTCTTAAATATTGCTAATAAATATAGCAAAACTTCAGGATACAAAGTCACCACACAATCAATATTTTCTATACATTGACAACTTTTTCAAAAATCCAGAGAAAATTTTGTTTGTCATAGCTACCAAATATAAAATACTTGAGGATGAATTTAACCAAGGGGGTGAAAACCTATACAATGAATGGCTGTTGAATGTTATTGACAGAAATTGAAGAAGTCACTAATCCTGTTCTATTCAACCATGCTCAGTTGAGCTGCACAGCTTTGATTTTCCATAACCTCCCATTGTTTGTTCTCACTGCTGTGTACTCACCCACCTGTTTCCTACCCCCAAGACCTTTCTTAATTATTTCTGCCTCAAAATCTCACTCTTCCTTCAAAGCGTGAGAGGGGTGATGCTGACCCGTAGTTAAGCCTCCTTGATACTCCAAACTGATAAATATTCAGTCTGTTCCTTGAGTTTCCATAGCAGGTCCCATTCATAATCCCTAGCTGACCCTATTTTGTGTTTTAATTGGGTGTTTTTTTTTTTGCATGACATGTCTCTTTTAAAACACCATCAGTATCTTTTTATAATGTTAATTTTGTTTTTAAGATAAATCTATTTATATTGGAAAATCAGATGTACAGAGAAAAGAAGTAACAGAAAGAAATATCTTTCATCCACTGGTTCACTCCCTAAGTGGCCTCAATGGCCTGAGCTGAACCAATCTGGAACTAGCAGTCAGGAGCTTCTACTGGGTCTCCCATGCCCCATGCCTTCCCAGGCCACAAGCAGGGATCTGGAAGGCAGGGAAGCCAGGACATGAACCAGCATCCACATGGGATTCTAGTGCATGCAAAGCAAAAATTTAACCAATGAACATCACACTGGGTCCACCATCAGTATCTTAGGTCAAGAGCTATAGTCTCCTCATTTTTGTTGCTCTGTAAATCATAACTTACCTTGCTCACACCAGGCCTTCACAAAGTATCTTCTGAAGAACTGGAGGGGGAGAGAGAAGCCCTTATGCTTCTAAACCTGTACCTTGACAAATATGAAATCTTACTACTTTATTTAAATAAAAAGAAAAAAATGAAGAAGGGAAGGAAATGCCTTCCAAGATAATGAATGTGCAGGATTAATGAACGCAAGCTTGTTTTGTGTACAGATCCAGTCCTAAATCCACAACACTATCAGTTCTGTAGCAATCATGGTTATCCACTTGCTTAAATAACATTTCTATGAATCCACTTAGAAAAGATGGAAAACTGTGTATTAAGGAAGGAACAAGTATGTAGGTTATTCCCTTCCTTAAACAAAGTGAAGTTCTGTTATGCGTCATGGAAAATTAGAGCACAGTAATAAAATTCACCAACGACACTTGTTGAATAATGATTTAATGGAAATGTGACTTTGCCTTCTGTTCACAGATCCTAACTTTTCTCTCAACTTCTTAAGCTACATGTTCTATTTATTTTGTTTTTAGATTACATTGACAACTATCGGCTATGGAGACAAAACTCCCCTAACTTGGCTGGGAAGATTGCTATCCGCAGGCTTCGCACTCCTTGGCATTTCTTTCTTTGCACTTCCTGCTGTGAGTATCTGTACAACAATAAAGCATCTTAAATTAGGTCTTACTGGAGTGAGATCTTGCAAATTGGTATGCTTGGGAAAATGTATCATTTAAAATTATAATTTTTCTAATATGATATTGACTGTTCTAACTATATTTAGGCAGACAGTTTACAAATAATGATCCTCCCTTGAAGATACTTAATATGAGAATTTAATCTTATCCAGGTCTTTGTGGCCAAATTACAATTCTAATGACATCCACAAGTCAGTCAACATGCTACAAAAAGATTTAAAATATTTGCAAAGATTTAAAGATATTTTCTTTTTAAACAAATGGCTCCACATTGAATCATACCATGAGCCACTGAAAAGACGAATGTGCACAAGTGAAGTATTTTCCTTGGGTCCATTTGAGTGAAAGGCATGTGACCTTAAAGGGTCTGAAATGTGTCCGATGATTTATTCCTTATGTCATCATCATCGATTTTTCTTAATGAGCAGTTTCTGCATCTTATCAGAATGAGGGATACATTTATCTTCCTCCAAGCTTGTGATTATTTTCTGCTTAATGGATAAAGCCTGCAACTCTGATCATCTTACTCTTGTTTCTTTAAATGTAGTTGGTCAAAATATTACAGTTTGCCCTCCAACCCCAAGTTCTCCACTCATGCGCACAAGGGTGAGGGAGCCAACGAAAAGGAGTTTTAAGGTATTGACAGCAGGCTGGCCTGTGGAAAATAGCCATGTTTTGTTCCAGATACAAGCTGATGCCACAGTACAGCCTCTGCTAAACAGAAACTACAAAGCACTCCTCCACAGGATGCTGGAGGAGAAGGGAGGTGAGGTAGGGACTTTCAGCACTAGATTTTAGCTCCCCGGACGTCGCTGGTACCCATGAGTGAATGCAGAGGATACTGCTTCCATGGTCAATGCCCAACTCCAGATAGTGCAGCTGTTTCTGCTCCCCAAGGGCTCAAAGTCATGGGGGGAAAAAAAACTTGAAAAATGGTATCTAGGAGCCAGCATGGTGGTTCAGATAGCTAATCTTCCACCTACAAGACCAGAATCCCATATCAGTGCCAGTTCATGTCCTGACTGCTCCACTTCTGATCCAGCTCCCTGTTTATGAGCTGGGAAACCAATGAAAGATGGCCCAAGTCCTTGGGATCCTGCACCAGCTTGGGAGACCCGGAAGAAGTCCCTGGCTTTGTATCAGCTCAGCTCTGACCACTACAGCCATGTGGGGAGTAAATGAGCAGATGGAAGATCTTTGTATCTCCTTCTCTCTGTAAATCTGCCTTTCCAATGAAAATAAATAAATGAATCTTTTAAAAAGTGATGTCTAGGCTTAGACATTACCCCACAGTTGAATTCTGATTTTGTTGTTCACTGCATTTCCGTGTTCATTTCCTAAGACTGCCATGACATGTATCACTGACTATGTGGCTTAAACAACAGACATTTATTGCCTATCAGTTTTAGAGGCCAGAATTCAAAATGAAGATATTGACAGAATTTTTTGCTTCTGAGACCATGAAAGAAAGATCTGCCCAGGCCTCTCTTTGGTTTGTGGAGAGTCCCCTTCTTCCTGTTTCTTCGCATAATTTATGTCCTATTTTCTTCTCCTTAAAAGGACAGCAACCCTTTTGGATCAGCAGGGTCTGGGCTTCAGATCATTTAGGACCTGTGAAATTATTTTGTCTGGCCAAAGCAATTACAATCAGGACTCAGAATTCAATCAATCGTACAGGCTAATTTTTTTAAAGGTTTATTTTTTTCTGTGGGAAAGGCAGATTTATGAGAGAAGGAGAGATAGAGAAAGATCTTTCATTTTCTGGTTCACTCCCCAAATGACCACAACAGCCAGATGTGAGCCAATCCAAAGCCAGGAGTCAGGAGTTTCTTCTGGTTCTCCCACATCAGTGCAAGGTCCCAAGGCCTTGGGCCATTCTCTACTGCTTTCTCAGGCCATAGGCAGAAAGCTGAATGGAAAGTGTTGCAGCCAGGACACAAACTGATGCCTTAATGGGATGCCAGTGCTTGCAGACAGATAATTAGCCAGTTGAGCCATTGTGCCAGCCCTAGTAGGCTAATTTTAATTGATAATTTCGTGTGGTCTGCAGATGTTACAAACACCAAAACATGCTTGGCTGACAAAAGACTGCCCACCCTGTATTAAAGCTACCCTTACAACCTCATTTTAAACCATATACAGCTGTAAGGAAGGACCTACCTTTAAATAAGGTTGTATGCTGATGCACTGGGGGACAGAATTCCACCTGTGAAGCTTGAGGGTACACAGCTCAAATAGTGATATTCCTTCATTAATGAATGGAGGAAGAGTGATTAATCTCAGAGAAATTTTGTAAAAGCCAATATGATGATGTAAGTCATGTGCTTACTAAGAAGTCTCTCAATATATCTTACTTGAATTTTCTTACGTGAATCTAGGAATTCATGTTTCCTGGTATAGCATAATACATCAAAGGAGATTAGGAAAACATTCCATTTTCCAAAATTAACTCCCCTGTTAATCTCAACAACCCCTGTACAGAGCAGAGATTCCCTCGGCAATCACATTCCATTCAGGAAAAGACCTTTCAAAAGGGTAAAATGCAGTTTGGATTTTTATTCCCAAACTAATGGCACACAATATGTGCTGCACTGTGATTACATTTATTCTCATGCCACAAGTATGGCAACCTCTATGACTTAGTGAATGTGAACAGGAAGTTAGGTAGCCCTGGACTATTAAAATACACTATGCTGTAGGTGCTGCCCCAGAGCAGAGCCTCAGGAACTGTAATCGTGAATCTGATTAGCGAAGAAATTCTGATTAGCTGACTCCACCATTTCACAATTGTTTGGAAAACATATATTGCAACTGTAGAAACCGGATGATAGAACAACCAACAGGAAGAAATGGTGAGAGCCTGAGAACAAGGAAAGGAGAACAAAATCTGTAAGAAACAAGCAAATCTAAGTGTTCAAAAAGTGTAAAGACTTGGGGCCAATTAGCATGAAGGGCAACCTGTGTGTGGAAGCTGACTATATCTAGTGCAGTGAAGTGTCTGGGCCACATAATGAAGCCCTAAACCATTCCAAAGAGGTTAAACTATGTTGTTACATTAAATTAAAGGTGAGCGACTAAGTAATCATTCTTGAAAATTTCTTCAACAAAATTAAAATTTTATGTGGTTTTATATAATCTGGAAGATTTTGAAGGGAAATATGTTAAATGTTCGCCAAAACTTGATTGTTTTCTAAGTTGGTGTTTGAGTAGCACCTCGCAGCATAGAATTCAAACTTAAAACTCAAACATTTAAGTATTGTTCTCATAGAAAAGCAATAAAAACAAAACTCAGTTTCTAAAGCTTCGTAAAACTTGGTGTTGAATTTCGAAAAGATGGCACGCATGTACAAAGGCTAGCCACGTTGTACATGTGTATATATATCACAATGGGTTTTACCAGACTTCTATTTAAGTGCACTGAGTTGTGTATTCAGAGAGAGTGGAGGAAAGCTGGAACAGAGCCATTATGAGACAGTGAGCAGGCCTTGTTTAATAACTGCTGCAATGTACAGTCTGGCGCAAGAGATGTGTAGCAAACATTTGCCTTCTACTAATGTATGTTCCTAAGCAATGCCAACGTGATTTTCAGCACATTTTAGTTTGTTTAGCAGATGCTAAATTGGTGCTGCATAGGACCTATCTTCATTTTCCAAAGGAGATTTCACCCTGAACCTCATCTCCATGTAGTAAGGTCTACTCATCTCCAAGTAGGTTATATGCATATAATTAATGTACACATAATATACATTATAAATATATACTATAAGTTAGAATGCTTTCTATTCTGCTACATGTTAATATTTCAAGAAAATTTACATTAAAAAAGCAGTAAGTCTGTTTTCCTAAATGATTTTTAATAAGAAAAAGTTAAAACTTTCAAAGGGAGGGTCGTTGTATAATCTCTAGGTGGAGGAAAATCATGTTCAAATCTGCAAAGCCGACCATAGATTCCAGTCTTTATAAAGCTTAGTTTGCACAAGCACAGCCTGCGAGTGATTCAGACCTTAGAGAGCATGAGACAGCCACTGAAAAAAAGAGATGGAAAACAGAGCCTATGATGTAATTTCAAATTTCATAGTCCAATCATTTGTCCTAATTAATAATGGAGTAGATCATTTCACATTAACATCAAATAGCATTATTGTATAATTGTATATTTTTAACCTGGTTGCATTACTTATTGTCTGCTTTTTGTCCAAGATGTGCTCACAATTATGAAACCTCAAGGCAAAAAGGAAAGTTAAAGGCTATCTAGAAGCCAAAAATATCTCAGCCAAGTTGTCATCCAGCTGAGACTTAACACCTCCTAGAGATGAAAAACCCACTACCTCTCCAGGCAGCCAATACCATCTCTGAACTACTTAAAGAAAAGCAACAGTTGCTTACCTATGGCAAACACTGGCTTAGTGACTTAGTACTTTTCAGATGCCCAGCTCTAACCTAAGGGGTAGCCTCCTTGAAGTTTAATAAAAAGCTAATAATTTATAGCTAGAAAGTATAATCCACACACTTGAAAGCAGTGAAGCCACAAGTCCCATACTAATAAATCTGAGAGTTATAGGAAAGGTGCAGAGACTGAATTTAGGAAATTGAAAGCTATCCCAAGAATGAGACAAAGCAACTTGGTTCTTGGATATTAGAAAAATAAAACTGAAAAGAGGATAAAACATTAAATAACAAGAATTGGGACAGACCAATTTGATGAAAAGGGCAGTAAAACTAGCCCCAATAATAATATTGTAACATGGAAGGAACACTAATATTATCACCCAAGCTCTAAGTAGGTGAGCCTATCCAAGAATGCAAAGACTTCTGACATGTGAGATTAAAATTGAGGGAAATAAAAATGTGCGTTGCAGTGATCCATGATTTAGTCTTCACTGTACAAGCAGAAAAATCTTACATGTGTTCAAAGCTGAGTGTTTGTTGGTCTCATCTGTATAACCACACACCCCCGCCCCCGGTTTCGCTTTATCTTGGTCAGTACAGAATACATTCTTCTTCATTTCGTGGATGGAAAATACAACTTCAAGGTGTCCTAAAATGCTAGACATACTCCCATGTCCACATCAGTGAGCATCTAGCTCTTCTACATTTACAATGCAGCTCTGTCTAAAATACCATGGCACATAACCTCCAAATTCTAATACTGGATAAGACCACTCATTATAATTTAGACATAAATAAATGTCATGGAGAAGGCCAAATATGGCGTTTAATTTATAACTATGCTGCCTCTTACTGTACCACAGTACACAGTAAGTAGTGATATCTAATTGAATTACTAAAGAACAGAAGCTGCTATATCTCTTAGCAGTTTACCTCATAACTTGCCACTGGTTGATGGTATTACAATAGAGATAAATAATGTTTGTTTTCATAAGAACATGCTTATGGACAGGTTATATACTGCTTGTCTTCTCCCAAATCTGTTTAAAATTTTTTTAAATATTTGTATTATTTCACAGTGCTTTTGAAATTTTTTAGTCTTATTTTTGTATTTTATTCCAGGGCATTCTTGGCTCAGGTTTTGCATTAAAAGTACAGGAACAGCACCGCCAGAAGCACTTTGAGAAACGAAGGAACCCAGCTGCCAACCTCATTCAGGTAAGTGTCAGTGTAATCATTAGATGGTAATATCCATCTCCTTAAGTCCTTTTGGGGTCATTTTCCAAATTCAATTTTTCATTGCTTGGTAGAGCTACTATTTAGTTCTATTTTTAAAAGGAGAGAGAGAAACGAAATCAAAACTTAATGTGCAATCTGGAATTTGAGCAGGTACCATGTGCAATCTTAATTTTGAGCAGGTACCCTGCTTTCCCAAACAGAAAACTATCTTTTTCAGGAAATGGTCCATGCATTGTTCATGTCAATTAACTATACCAGACAGGCCATGCAGAGGTTAGCAGTTATGTTGCTTCTGGAATGACCTGCTGTGTCTTATGAATTACTTGGTGAAACATAATTGATCATTAAGTGATAGAGCAGAACACAACATTGTTCCCTGCATTACAATTATCTTCTCCGGCCAGACGTATGCCCCAATTCTGAAGAACAGCGTGTTTATTTAGAATGCCAAGGTTTGGTACCTGTGGAATTGCTTTTGTGCCACCTAAAGCAGTAACTTGAAATAGGCATTCTATTTTAAGAGCTAGTGGAATTATGGCATACATCAGTGTTAGAGATTGTGAAATAAGAAGTGTATTATTTGAACTTAGTTTATAACGTATAGTCATTACAGAGCATTTCATTTTCTTTTCAATGACTCGGAATTTTCTTCAGCACAGAGCGGATGCTGCTGTCTTTGCCATCCACACCTTTTGGTTGTGGGACCATTCCTGAAATAAGTTAAGAACAACAAAATATATTTTGTGATCTATAACGTGGGAATGGTATTTCATTATAGATGGCATATTTCTACAACCTGAAATTTCTTCTCTTCTTGCTGAGTAGTTAAAGCTGCAGAACGTCTAAGCTTTCGGATTTGGGTGGTGATCTGATATGCCAGAAGATTTATTTCTGCTGTAGTAACAAGCATACTGTTTCAATTTATTTTTTTATACTGTTTTACTTTTATTTTTTACAATACAGTTCCATAAGGTTAGGGATTTCCTCCTCCCACCTTCTTTTTTCCCCTCCCTCCCCCCACTTCTGTTTCAACTTAAATTGAATATTTGAGTAGGAGGAGAGTGGTTTTAAAAAAAAATAAAAGAAAAAGTACAAGCAGCTTTAGTCTTTGTGGATGTTCCATGCATTACCTGCAGCAGAAACTGAGCAAGAATAAGTGGGAGGAATGTGGCTCCATGATACTATGAAGGACATTTTTTTTTGCATCTGATAACTGTATAAGAATATTAATTTACTATCAAGGGAGTCTGAAATGAATAACAATAAAGTGGACCATTGGGGATGACTTCCAGTGCAGACCACTGAAAGTTTATTTTTAAGATTTCAAGGTTTTAAGGAACACTGAGAAGAAAGTAAACTTCATTTTCTTAAGAGACAACACCCCTAAGTAGTAGGAGTTTAGGATCTGATGCCAAACATTAGTCAGCAGAATGAAGGCGCAAAGAATAATATGCTTTAGCACACACACAAAATATGCTGAGACCCAGTTAGTGTTTCTTCACTCGTTTTACATGTTTCTATACTTGTAGTAATTTTTCCCTTTACTGTTCATTATTCTGGAACAATGTTTTCCAATATTCAAAGGCATAAGCTATTGCATGGATTTTTTTTCTTCCATCTGGGCACCAAGCCCTGTCTACATATGGAACCAATAATACATTTTACAATTATCAGCTGTTCTGTTAGAAAGTAAGTTTTTCAAGAAGTTGCTTATGCATGTATCAGTTGTGAGGATATAAAATCATGCTTCCCAGGTCAGCTTCATGTACCTATGTAACTTAGATTAATTAAATTTTAAAATTCCATTCATCAGTGCCACTAGCCACTTCTCCAGTATTCAGTAGCTGCAAGTGGGCACCGGCTACCATAATTGCACAAGACAGGTATGGAGAATAAGCAGACGCTTTCCTGATCTAACCTAAGTTGTCAGTGTGACTACTAAATTGCTCAAAAAAACAATTTCTTACCGGACTGGAAAATAAATTACAATTCCTGCAGAAAGTCACTGGAGCAGAGGTATTTGTATGTCCACAGCTGTAGCAAGGCAGGGCTTTTGTCACAGGTAGTCCATAAAAGTTGGAGCAGAGGCTGCTTGGAGGCCTAGAATCGTATTTTGTGGAGTTTGATTGTATGATAGGTAAACAAATTACCTTGTACAACTATAGGTAGTAACGGAATGAAATAATGAATTTTATTTTTGTTGAAAAATCCTGGCTATATATTGTCCATAACAAAAAAGAATACAGAGTACAACACTTGAATGTTCAAGAACACTTTTAAAATCTAACCATTGTTTTATAATCAGAGTAAATTCACTAATTTAAAAAGCTCCCTCATCCAAATGCAATTAATTTATTACACATAAAAATAATAATATGATTAGTAATTTTTTGTTCTTCCTGGTTGTAATTTTGGACAGAGTTTGAGCTGTAAGACTTGATTATATATTATAGAAATTTATTTTCAAGGGTGCACTGGATTAAAAAGCAAGCCTCATTTGCTGATAAATTCATTTTCTGGCCTAACAAATCTGACTTGGCTTGATGAACACACAAGGACAAAAAGCAGTCTCATTTTTTTTAAAGCCAAAATCTGCAAGAGAAACTGAGATGTCCAAGTTGCTTTACCATTTCGTTAATGAGAGAACTTAATTATCCAGAAGTTCAGGATTTTATCAAAAAGTTTAAAATCCCATCAGCTTTCAGCAAATTGAGCTGTGTCAATATTTTTACTTGATTGCTTTAAATTAACTTTTCCTTTCAAGTAGAGCAGTCTGGGGAAAGAAACCAGCTCTCAGTAATGTTTTGAATACCTGCCCAAATGTCACAACTTTTATTAATAATGTCCAAGACTCATGAAGTGCTTTATGCTTTGCAGAGTACTTCTAGTACTTAATATCACTTGATCCTCAGCACAAGGCTAACAGGAGCTAGGACTCAAATTCTGGTGCATGAAACCTAATCCATTAGTCCTTCCAAAAAGCGTGGTGTGCTGTTTGGCAGAGCAGTTGAGCCGCCACTTGAGACACCCACATCTTATCCAGAATACCTGGGTTTGAGTCCTGGCACTGCCCTCCATCCCACCTTCCACTACAGATGCATACCCAGGGATCCAGCAGGTGATGCTCAAGTCATCAGGCCCCTGCCACACATGGAGGACTCAGATTGAGTTCTGGCCTGCATGAGACTGCCTGTCTCACTCTTTCTATCTCTATTTTATTCCCTCTGCCCCCCACCTGCCTCCCAGCTGTCTGTGAGAGCCTTGGGGTTCAGATTCTTCAGAAGTTCCCTGTTGTTAAAGGTTTCTTTCTAGAGAGGATGGGTCGGTACAGACTGGAGCCAAAATGTTTTATTAGGAAAAGAAACAGAGAGCATAAGAGAAAGTTTGAAAAATAAATGCTAATAGACAGGCGTAATTTCCTTATTTTGCTGGACTCTCTGCATGGTCCATGCCCACAATGAAGGAATCATGACTGGTTATGAACTGTACCACTGTAACAATATGGAGAAATTCAATACGGGGGGAGGGCTTGGGAAGGGGTTGAGGGAATTCCAGAGCCTATGAAACTGTCATAAAATGAAACAATAAAAAATTGTCCTTATTTAAAGACATTAGACGGTATTGCTTTGAAGAACCTAATCAGACATAAATAAAGATAGATAGATAGATAGATAGATAGATAGATAGATAGATAGATGATACATACATACATACAATCTTAAAACTTTGGCTTCCTCCAGCAAAGTAACTTATTCTTTATCCATTTACACTAAAAGAGAAGATAGCAAAATATAAGCTCAAGCCACATTTATGGAGACTGTACACCATTTTTACCGGTTCAGCTATAAATAAAATGAATCTGAAAGAAAAATCCTAGATGAATAAAAAATGGCCTCAGAAAAAAAATGAAAATGGTGATAAAATTGTGAAAATCTCTCAAGAAAGAGAATGAAAAGGGAGGTGTGGGAAATAAGAGGAAACAAACATAAGAAAACTTTCAGGGTATCTAAGCCCCCAAAAGAGATGCAATTCAAACAGAGAGGAGAGAAACTAGTGAAAGGCTTTTACTGATGAAATGCAGTATTATGATTCTCCAGAACTGGAGAGTAGGAGCGATCACAGTAAGAGAGAATACCAAGTACTTTGTACTGTAACCAAAAATGTCACATCAAGATTAGCCTAGGGAAGTATCGGAATATTTGCAAAAAAAAAAAATATATATATATATATATATATATATATATGATCCCCCTGTAATCCCAAATGCCTTCTGAACAAGATATACTCAACGGATCAGAAATCAAAATGGGGACAGGCCAAGATCACAACTTAGTAAGAAGTTCCAGAACTGTCCCTACAGAAACACCAACATGAGCAGACGCTCACACACACCCAGTCACCTTCCCAAGGGCTGTTGAAGCCATGGAAAAGACCACAGTACCCCATCCTGTTAGGATCACAAAAATCACTTTGAAAAAAATCAGAAAGGAAAGAATTGCCTGTGTCATTCCCCACCCCCAGTTCCAGCACGGGCAGATAGCTCACACTGGGGAGCAGGAGCCTCTATCAGTCCTAGCACCAGGCACTCTGTGAAAAAATTCAGTAACGCCGAGCCCATTGGCCCTGCCTCCAGGATCTTACATGCAGAGTAAAAAATGTCCATCACTCCTCCCAAAACTGCCCACAGAAAACAAGACTCCAGCCTTGTAGAGACGCTGGATGAGAGAACTTAGGACCCTCTGCCAGGCCCTGGCATAAGAAAAAGCCCAAAGACCTTTTTTCACAGACAGTGCTCTAGCCATGCCAGGCATCAGGCAGACACACCTGTGATGTGATGGGTGAGGCTGATTGAGTGTGTCATTGCCACCCTGGGATGAACCTGTAAGGCATCCTGGGATGTTGTGATCAGTATAGCATGGATCTGAGAAACCAGGAGACTACCTTTATCATCCTCCTCCAACCTTTCACTGAGACTAAGG